TCTGTCTCTTTCTGGCAAACACATGCGCCTTATAGCAAAAACCTTTACACACACACACACACACACACACACACACACACAAAGTAGAACTAGAAAACACCTTGGAATATATTAAGTCCGTTTTCTTCATTTAGGAAAAGGTTCGAATTAGTCCAGAGATGTTAGGTAACCAACCCGAAGTCACACGGCTACAATGTGCCAGGATCTAAACTCTAACGTGAGATTCCTGTTTCCTTGTTTATTTCTCTCTTGTTGAAAAGTCCAACTCTAAACCATTCCTGATCATGGATGTCATGGCCTCCCATGGGGCTGGGGCGTGAGAGGGAAAAAGCAGGAGCGGAAGGAAAGAAACAAAGAAAGAATCCACTGGCTGGACAATCACTACCGTCAGAGCTTTGTAAAATTTTAATTTCTTCTTTGGAAATTTAGATGAGGAAAATACATCCACTTCTATTTGTGAAGTGCTCGTCTTCTTCCATTTTCAAACTTCACATTGCACTCTTGAATAAATGTTTATTTTCTAATGTAATCCTAGATATTTTTTTCCAGTAAGGGGAAAGACTTGGGCTCTGCAAATGATTTCCGAGCCGACTTCGAAGTGTCAAGAAATGTATAAAAGTCTCTTTTATTCCTAGAGAGAGTTAGAATGTCTTAATACAAGCCATTTGAGAGATTTATTTTGTCTCACTCTGACATGCCTGTGGCACACATTTGGAACACACATTTATTAACGAATCTCACCCTTCTACATTTCTAAAAACAGAGCCTAGTTTGGAGCATATTAACCCTTCATTGTGAAGCGGTTCCATGGTGCCCTCTTTAAGAATTTCAGTGAATAACAACCACCACAGAAACTCTCAGAAATGAGTCGACAATAAAGGCATATTATACTTTTTCGTCTAGTTTTTAAATTTATAATTAAGTGACAACTGGAAGTCTGATCAAAATTCCCCAGGGGGGAGGGAAAAACCCTTGAGCACAGGTTAAAATTCCTACACTATTTTCTTCCAAATCAACGGTTTTCTGGGAACTACCCAGGCTCATATTTCAGCCCAAGGACGTTCTTGGCCTCCTCTTCTCTTTGGGGACAGAGGCAGGCGCAGCTTACGCCGATGAAGCAGAGTGACCCCACACTCAGGGACTTGGACAAGGGTCGCTCCTCCTCACCAGGGTCTGAACTTGGCTTTTGTCTGCAATCTATCATTTGAAGATGTGATTCCCCTTTCTCCATCCTTGGCTCGCTTATTCATTCTCTTAACTACCTAGTAATGATGTTATCGAAGATTTCATCTCAGTCCCATAACGCAGCCTGCCTAATTGACCTACATCCTTTCATCTCTCTCACTCTCATTTTCTTGTAGAAAGAAGAAATGATGAAGAAAACGTTCTTGGAATTCATTTCTGGCAGAGTCTTGTAAGCTTTGCTTTAAATTGTTAGTGAAATGCTTGACATTTTTCCTTTACTTTATAAACATTATGTGCAAATCATTCAGAATCCTAATGGAAAGTAATTTCCCATTAATGCAGGCTATAAAATGCCGTTTTCTTTTGAAACCGTGCCTCAGAAACCAACAACGCGGGACCCCTTTTCACTCTCAAATTCCATCCACAAATCAACCTGAAGCCTGATGGTGGGTGTGTGAGATGGGACTTCAAACACTGCCAAGGGAAACTGAGAAGAAAGAGGCGGCCCGGGAAAGGTACGGCAGACAGCAGAGGGCGAGCGCGGCAGACGGCAGAGTTTGTGCAAGCGGAGAATCCAGTGGTTGGACGTCGAGACTTCTCAGACGCCATCTTGTGCACATCTGTGATCTCTGGCTGAACATCGCCCTTCTGACAACTTAATCTGCTTAGGGACTGAGCTACTGGCCAAGGAGGAGGGGACAAGACAAGAACATGCACAGCCTAGCCGACGAAGCCAAAGAACTCGCTGTCCTATCGCGAATCAGATGTACACACAGGACTCCTGCTGCGACCATTTGCTTGGCCCCAGATTTCCCTGTGATCATGACTGTCAGGAAGAAATCATTCCTAATGCTCATGAACATGTCGGAGCAGTCCCCGATATTCCTCTGCGATGGTAGAAAAGGAAATCTGAATGAGGCAACATGCTCAGCTCTGCTACTTCCTCGCTCTGTGACCTGGAGAAAAATCTCACTTAGCCTCTCTGAGCCTCCACTTCCTCCTCTGTAAAATGGGGATAAAAACAGCACTAGAAACTCACAAGGTGTTCAGTATGACATCTAAGCCGGAGAAAGTCTCCAGTAAGGGTGGCCGCTGTACTATCATATTGTTACCTACTACTTTGGCTTATTATGAGCATTTCCTTGCAGTCTGTTATGAAGATAAAATGAGTTATGCATAGAAAGTATCAATTATTATCACCCGGTGTCATTATGGGCACTCCAATGTCAGGTCCCTATCCAAGTGATAAATTCAAATACCTTTCATTTTCATAGAGCACGACACGCTCCACCCTGCGAGCAGGAGAGGTCAAATCACAGGAGAGTGAAGCTCTCTCGCGGCGTAGTAAAGCCGGGTGTTTTAGGAGCTCAGCCCAGGTCTTGTCTCCAAGGACCACCCACCTGTTTGTCTGCAAGCTGGGAGGGGAGAAGCCGTGGGGTCCTGGTTCTGGGTCAAAGTCAAGGAAGGAGATGTGACAGTGGGAGGAGAGGTCAGAGAGAGATCTGAAGAAACTCTGCTACTAGCTTTGAAGATGGAGCAAAGGACTAAGAGCCGAGGAATGCAGGCGGCCTCCAGAAGGAAAAAAAAATAAAAGGCAAGAAAACAGATTCCCTCCAAGAGCCTCCAGGGAGAATGCCAACACCTTGATTTTTGGGCTTCTGATACTCTGAACAGTAAGGCAGGTAATAAGTTTGTGTTATTTCAAGACACGCATTTTGCAGCAATTTATTACAGAAGCAGTAGAAAAACCAATATATTTGGGTGAAGAAATTCAACTGTCATCCTACGTAAATAATTGGGAACAATCAAAGAATCAAATAGAAAGGTAAAGTTTCCTCAGAGGGCAGAATAAAAGAAGAAGGAAAACAAGAAGGACAAGATGAAACACAGAGAAAGAGTTTCTAATTGGCGTTTAAAAGGGAATAAACAAGGGGCCAGGAGGTGGCATGGCACGGTGGTTAAGTCACTGGACTCTCACGTAGCTGACTGCAGTTTGAGTCCTGGACCTGGCAGCTTCCTTTCTCACTTTATCCCTATGTCTCTGTCTCTCCCTGGTGAGTCTGTGTGCCCCAGAAAATAAAAAAAATAATAATAAAATTAATTTTTATCTTTAAGAAAAAGAACGTAAGAAGAACAAAGTAGAAAGATTTTTTAAGAGATCTTCCCATAAAGCATGTGAGCTCACTGGAGAGCAAGAGAGACAGACACAGTGAGAGGGAAATGAAAAATCACCCCAGAGGGGGGATGGCCATGCCACAATCCCTTCTCCTCCATTCTCTTCCTGGGATTTGGGCATGCACATACATGCACCCAGTGTAATTTTCCAAGTCACCAGGTCAGAAAATTGAACTGTGGCCAGCCATATGGGAGTCTATTGACATAACCACTATGCCATCTGCTGGCCTAAAGATCTTTACAGCAATTAAAAAAAAAAGTTTCCAGGTTCAAAAACAATGAGTAAGCACAGCTGACCCAGCCTCAGCCAGCCAGGATCACAGGTGTGTGTGTGCATACCCAGCATGTATAGGAAGACTTCAGGACACGAGTCCAGGACCTCCTCATGTGGCTCCAGCATTGTAGAGTGTTGCATTACTGTTGTAGCACTGCAGCTCCCCATAATTTTTATTTTTAGTGTAGAAAACTAAAACACACTTAAAGGAAGGTGTGCATTGAAAGAATATGCAGATTGTGCAGCTTACATGGCCTGAGGGTGTTACAGAGAAGCAATTAGGCATTCGCAGGGAAAGTAAATGAACCCAACATAGTCTCACATATACAAAACTAACTTGAAATCAATTGTGGACTTAAGAAAAAGCACAGGAGAAAGTCTTTTTGTTCTAGGACCAGGCAAAGAATTCCTAAACTTCCCGCCAAAAAATATAATCTATAAAAGGAACTTCCCGCCAAAAAAATATAATCTATAAAAGAACTTCCCACCAAAAAATGTAATCTATGAAAGAAAAAAAAATGTATAAGTTAGATTTCATCAAAATTTAAAAAAACTTTGGGACCAGCAGTTAGCGTAATGGCTATGTTGTTGGACTCCCATGTAGTCGACC